ACATACTTGTGTATTCACACACCAAATTCTTTATTGTATAAAAAACAGTTTATCATTGTTGCAACACATACAACACAAGCAGCCTAATTATTAAACATGTTTTATGTTTCAATGATTAAATACATATAAACAATATTATATATATACATATGTATGTATATAAGTACATATCTACAAATGTAATAATGTATGAATTTCTCAAAAAACCCACATTGATTAAATTTAAGAATACTTCATTCTTCATGAGCAAAAAAAGTATTATTTTCTTAATTTTGTACCATTGTTTTACGGTCTACCACAATGTGTGGCACAAACAGTATTTATGTGCGTTTTACATTAAATATGTATGTTCAGAAAAAAGCAAAACAGACGGAACATAGAAATATAAAAATGTGCTGAAATTGTCGTGGGATCAAAAATACAAAAACAAAGGTATAATAAAGATATTAATTACTAAAAGCGATTTAGAAAAAAAGAAGAAGAATTAAAAAAAGTAGAAAAGATATTTGGAAGCTAAATTTTATAAGAGCTTTAATATTATATATGTTAAACTGAAAGGAGTGGATCAAGTAAGTTAGTTAGTTTGTAGTTAGTTAGTTAGTTGTAGTAGTTAGTTAGTTAGTTAGTTAGTTAGTTAGTGTTAGTTAGTTAGTTAGTTAGTTAGTTAGTTAGTTTAGTTAGTTAGTTCGTTTTCGTTAGTTCGTTCGTTCGTTTTAGTTCGTTAGTTGTTCGTTCGTTTCGTTCGTCGTTCGTTCGTTCGTTTTCGTTCGTTCGTTCGTTAGTTTCGTTCGTTCGTTCGTTCGTTCGTTCGTTCGTTCGTTCGTTCGTTCGTTCGTTCGTTTTCGTTCGTTCGTTCGTTCGTTCGTTCGTTTCGTTCGTTCGTTCGTTCGTTCGTTCGTTCGTTCGTTCGTTTCGTTCGTTCGTTCGTTCGTTCGTTCGTTCGTTCGTTCGTTCGTTCGTTCTTTCGTTCGTTCGTTCGTTAGTTCGTTCGTTCGTTCGTTCGTTCGTTCGTTCGTTCGTTCGTTCGTTCGTTCGTTCGTTCGTTCGTTCGTTCGTTCGTTCGTTCGTTCGTTCGTTCGTTCGTTCGTTCGTTCGTTCGTTCGTTCGTTCGTTCGTTCGTTCGTTCGTTCTTTCGTTCGTCGTTCGTTCGTTCGTTCGTTCGTTCGTTCGTTCGTTCGTTCGTTTGTTCGTTCGTTCGTTCGTTCGTTCGTTTTCGTTCGTTCGTTCGTTTCGTTCGTGTTCGTTGTTCGTTTCGTTTTTCGTTCGTTTCGTTTTCGTTTCGTTCGTTCGTTCGTTCGTTCGTTCGTTCGTTCGTTCGTTCGTTTCGTTCGTTCGTTTCGTTCGTTTTTTCTTTCGTTCGTTCGTTCGTTCGTTCGTTCGTTCGTTCTTCGTTTTCGTTTTCGTTCGTTCGTTCGTTCGTTCGTTCGTTCGTTCGTTCGTTCAGTTCGTTCGTTCGTTCGTTCGTTTCGTTCGTTTGTCGTTCGTTGTCGTTTCGTTCGTTCGTTTCGTTCGTTCGTTCGTTCGTTCGTTAGTTCGTTCGTTCGTTCGTTTCGTTTCGTTCGTTCGTTCGTTCGTTTCGTTCGTTCGTTCGTTCTCTTCGTTCGTTCGTTCGTTCGTTCGTTCGTTCGTTCGTTCGTTCTCGTTCGTTCGTTTTCGTTCTTCGTCGTTGTTCGCGTTCGTTCGTTTACGTTCTTTTTTAGTTCGTCGTTTTAGTCCCTTCCTTCTTTCTTCTTATAGTTAGTTAATACAAACTAACCTACCAGACGCATCAGGTAGATTAAAGGAAAAGTAACACAAAATATGATATTCCTCTGTAACTTATTTCCTTAAATTTAATTTACTTTAGAAAATTTTTTCAATTTTCATACATTTAAACATTCCATCCGCAAAAAAATCCCTCCACATATATATATGTTCCCTTTGTACTCACAAAATAAAAATAGGACCTAACAACCCCCCAGAATCCCACTGTCGTTTTGTAAATACTTGTACAAAAAGTTCATTTGTCTTTTGTAAGCACTAAGGTAAACACGTAAATACAAAGTAAAATAGAGTACGGCAAACGAATGACGCTGAAAATGATGGAACGAATCAAAAAGAGGGAATGTAAAAATGCAAATAGTAAAAGAATAAGGGAATGTGATTAATTTACATTTATTTACAGAAAGATTTTTTTTACAAACTAAAATTTGATGTTGTATTTAACTACAATATTTGCACTAAACGTTAGAGATGGATAAAGAAGGCGACAATGTTAGGGGAAATAAAGTTATAATCATTTGAAGTGAAATACCATTTTTATATGAAAATAGCTTAAAAAGGTCTTTAAAATTTCTTGGATTATAGCGATTTCTATGCCACAGGTAAATTTTCTTTTTTAAATTCTACCCTTGCTCTAAATAGCGTTTTCAATTACAATTTTGATTTAAGACTTTCTGTCTGAATGCTAGAATACTAGCTCTTCAAATTTATTTCTTTACAAATTTAACAGGCCTTCTTACATTATTCTTTTCTTATGTTAATTTGTGTCTGTGGCCACTAACTTATTGCATGTTTTAAATCTCATTTTACATAATTTCTTTAAAAAAGAAGAGAAAATCAAGAATTCTCATAGACCAAAACCATACAAAATGTCATAAACATGTAATGTCAAACGACAACAAGACTTTGTTAATAAAGTTCTTTATGAAACTGATGGTGATGACAATAATGGTAATGATGACTACGTTAAGAGTGGTTTAAAAAAATGTTGTAGGCTTTCATGTCTTGAATTTGGTGTGAATATTTACGTTTGCACTGCATAGTATTCGACTTCCTGTGTGGCTTCCAACATAATGAAGTTTGTCACTTGGATTTGATAATTTAAAAACGAGAAACATGTATTGTAGTTGAAATCTGGCCACATGAAAGTAGTTCATAGTAGCTACTAACTAACTAACTAACTAACTAACTAACTAACTAACTAACTAACTAACTACTAACTAACTAACTAACTAACTAACTAACTAACTAACTAACTAACTAACTAACTAACTACTACTAACTAACTAACTAACTAACTAAACTAACTAACTAACTAACTAACTAACTAACTAACTAACTACTAACTAACTAACTAACTAACTAACTAACTAACTAACTAACTAACTAACTAACTAACTAACTAACTAACTACTAACTAACTAACTAACTAACTAACTAACTAACTAACTAACTAACTAACTAACTAACTAACTAACTAACTAACTAACTAACTAACTAACTAACTAACTAACTAACTAACTAACTACTAACTACTAACTAACTAACTAACTAACTAACTAACTAACTAACTAACTAACTAACTAACTAACTAACTAACTAACTAACTAACTAACTAACTAACTAACTAACTAACTACTAACTAACTAACTAACTAACTAACTAACTAACTAACTAACTAACTAACTAACTAACTAACTAACTAACTAACTAACTACTAACTAACTAACTAACTAACTAACTAACTAACTAACTAACTAACTAACTACTACTAACTAACTAACTAACTAACTACTAACTAACTAACTAACTAACTAACTAACTAACTACTAACTAACTAACTAACTAACTAACTAACTAACTAACTAACTAACTAACTAACTAACTAACTAACTAACTAACTAACTAACTAACTAACTAACTAACTAACTAACTAACTAACTAACTAACTAACTAACTAACTAACTACTAACTAACTAACTAACTAACTAACTAACTAACTAACTACTAACTAACTAACTAACTAACTAACTAACTAACTAACTAACTAACTAACTAACTAACTACTAACTAACTAACTAACTAACTAACTAACTAACTAACTAACTAACTAACTAACTAACTAACTAACTAACTAACTAACTAACTAACTAACTAACTACTAACTAACTAACTAACTAACTAACTAACTAACTAACTAACTAACTAACTAACTAACTAACTAACTACTAACTAACTAACTAACTAACTAACTAACTAACTAACTAACTAACTAACTAACTAACTAACTAACTAGCTAACTAACTAACTAACTAACTAACTAACTAGCTAACTAACTAACTTACAGTATACCAATCGGCTCAGAATCACTTTCTGTCTGGCTGTCTCCAAAAATTTGTTTTACATAAGTCTTAATAATACTGCTGATTTTCGTAGACATCAGGCCTCATTTGACCCTATCTCAAATATAAAGTCTCTTTCAGAAAATGACTTGATGGTCAAAATTCGCGATAGCACGATGATATTCTGCATATAATAACTTCATTGCAGACATAAATCCCTCTACCAACAGTTATAAGGATAGGCCCATATTAACCCCCAACTACACCTCATTTAGAAAATCTCTTTTTTCTTGACTTTCGTTATATGTCACATGCCTCAACGAAATTAATTTTGTAAAATAAAAAAAGGTTTCTTCTTGCAGAAATACTAGTATATATTCAAATGTGTATCTGATCCGATTAGTATACTTATATTCATGTTTCACCTATATTGCCTCTACTGCTACCTTAAGTATGCATGTAAACAATTTGTACACACTTTAAATTAAGTCAAAGTACACAAAGTGTAACGTGTATATAAAAAATTCACGACTACAAATTGACTTCACTTTAAATTGTTTGTGTTGTATTGACTGCTTGTATATCTGTGAAATTAAAATTAATTATCTACACCTTTGACGCACATCACTTAAGTTGACTTTAATTTGTTTGTCAATTGTCTGCTCTGATAGTGGATGGTGTTGTTAAATGTGGCAACAACCTAAGAGGATGCTAATATGTAATATCTGAGCATTTTGCATGAGATAAGTATAGACGGAATTTTAAAACTGATTGCAAAGAGACCATAATTATTCAAAATTTACAATATAATAGTTTTCCGCAGATTAGCAATTAATTAAGTTCAAGAAAATAAATCTTGTTTTAATAAAAAACTTTCTCTTTTTTCTTTACTTGCAGCTGGTACACCCACAATGGCCCTGGTCCTCTGCCTGTTCTAAGTGGTCCTCGCATACGTTTACTGGGACCCATATTGGCCATCGAGGCTGTGACCGGTGAAGATTCCGGTGTCTATAAATGTACAGCAAGTAATGTGGGTGGTGAGGCAAGTGCTGAGCTACGTCTTTCGGTGGCCACACCCATACAAGTAGAAGTACAACCAAATGTTCTTAGTGTCCATATGGGTGGCACCGCCGAGTTTCGTTGCATGGTCACCAGTAATGGCAGTCCGGTGGGTATGCAAAATATATTGTGGTACAAGGATGGACGTCAATTGCCATCATCTGGTCGGATAGAAGACACTTTAATTGTGCCACGAGTTAGTCGTGAGAATCGTGGTATGTATCAGTGTGTCGTGCGACGACCAGAGGGAGATACATTTCAAGCAACAGCAGAATTGCAATTAGGAGGTAAATATTTTCTATTTTAGTTGATATTGTAGTAGAGTTGCGCTCGATTTGACTATTTATTTTCGTTTCGTTGTTGTTGTTGTAGTTGTTGAGTTTTTCTTGTTGCCTTTACATTTCATTTAAAACATGTTTAACTATCAACTGTGGCGCTTTACTTTCAACTTTTTAGTTCTTCGTTGTTGGTTTATTTCTCGAACATTTTGTTTTTAATCCTTGCCGTTTTTTTGTTTTGTTTTGTTTATTTACAGATGCCCCACCAGTTCTGCTTTATAGTTTTATTGAACAAACTTTACAGCCTGGTCCTGCTGTAAGTTTAAAATGTTCAGCAGCCGGAAATCCAACACCACAAATTTCATGGACACTGGACGGATTTCCACTACCATCAAACGGAAGGTAATTGAACTTTTATGCAGAGCGAAATAACAAACAAACAAATACTTTTATGCATTTACACATACATACATACATTTGCACTCACATACACATGTGTATGTAGTTGTGAGTGAATGAAAATCACAGAGAGAGTTTGTATATTTTTTGTTTAAAATAAGTTTTGTTATTTATTTGTATGGAAACTTGCAAATATTTGTGCATTTTTATACATTTTTACATGTATGCATACATTATTTTGTATGCATGTATGTATTTGTTACTTACATATGTATATATGTGTTGATGTTAATTTGTTTTTCAATGTCTATAACTTTTGTTTTTGCATATGTATGCATGTAAATATTTTACACTTTTGTTTGCAAATAGATTTAAATTTCAATTTTGCAGCAAGTTGAAGTAATGTTAATTTAAACAAAATTCCCTTAGGACCAATCCTATATTGTTCAAATTATACATTTTTAAAGGATTAAATTTTCCGAGACTTCATGTCCAAAAGTTTGGCCATATTTGAGACTTTATAACACTGCAAAGACAGCTTATTTTATAAACTCTCGACTTTCAAATAACGGTGTAAGCATTTCTTATTAACTCTCCTCATTGACATATATATCTTAACCTTAAATTCTGATGACAGAATCGGATTCAGCGCAGTCCATTCCTGTAGAAAAGTAAACTTTGATTAAAAATGTATTCGCGTTCAAACATTTTTCCTGATTTGAGCGACCTCTTTCGTATCAAAATTAAAAAGTCTATATCGCTGGAATACATTTATTATAAATCTCGTTGAGCAATCAGTGTGTTCCAAATATGGGCATTTCCACCGAAAAGTCTACTTTTGTCACATCAGGCCACGTATCATTTAACTTTCTATATTTATATCATACACCACTATAGTGGGGAGGGTTTTATGCGTTTTTGCTGATGACTGTTACACCAAAAAATATTCGTCCAACACTAACCCCAGGTCCACTTTTGGAAATAACAGAATGGACTTAGGTCCGTTGTTTCATGAAAATTCCCGAAATTTTATTACTTTGAACAATTTGTGCTGTTATTTCTGGAGCTATGCTGAATCCGATAATGGTTTCAGAATTGACCTATGTCCAAGATTTCATAAAAATTTCCCAACAAAAATTATGAATCAATTATTCTACGAAATTTCAGTTCATATCATATTTTTAATTTATAGGTTTTTAGTCTTGATTAGCAAATATTTACAATAGTCAAGTCAAGGACCCTTAAAAGTAGACGAAATTTTAAAAAATTTCGAGATAACATAAAATATTTTATAGTAAAATCGGTCTGAAATTTTCTTCGGAAATTGAGATGAAATATTGGTCTCAGGTCTACTATGAGTTCATTTTCGAATTCAGTTTAAGTACTAATCCTGAATGTGAAATTTTTGCAGCTCTAGGCTTCAAGACCTCAATATAATATCGCAAATTGCTTAATATAAAAAAAAAATTTTTGGAATTTTGATGGAATATTGGTACCAGATCCATTCTGGATTCAGCATGGGATTTGACTAGTTTTCAGTCAGATTCGGCCAGTAGTTCCAGAGTTTGAAGAAAATTTTGATGAATGTTGGACCTAGGACCCATACTACAACAAAGTTTCAAATTCATTTTTTTGTTTGCTTTAATCTCGAAAACTACTGGCCAAATCTTGCTGGAAACTCACCTTCCGAAAATGTACTCAGAATGGACCTGGGACCAACATTTCATCAAAATTCGTGAAAATTTTGTAATTTAAGAAATTTGTGTTATTATATCTGGAGTTGAATTTTTATCGCTTTAAGCCAGTATTGAGCGTTAAAGACATATTCTGATTTTTTGTGGGCTGGGGTCAATTTAGAGTCACTTGTGGACCGATTCTTATAAAATTTGGCACAGAGATTTTAGCTCATACAAAAATAGTTTATGTCGAATTTCATCGTTGTGCTCGTATTTTTAAGCCAGTAATGAGCGTTAAAGTCATTTCTCTTATACAGGGTGTAGGGTCAATTATAGACTGATCCTCGCAAAATTTTGGTAGAACGTTTTCGGTTCATAGTCATGTTTACGTGAATTTCATATTTGTAGTCATACTTTGAAACCAAAAGGGGATCTTTTATGGGGATAGGGTCGTTGGTAGAGAGATTTGGGATCATACAAAACCCGTTTTTGTCGAATTTTGTCGCCATACAGTTATCTCTAAGCCGATAATGAGCGTTATAGTCATTTCTACAGGGGACCTTATATGATGGGGACCTTATATCATGAACCGATCCCTTTAAAATTAGGTATTATTAGGTATTATTATAATGCTGTATAGTTATATTTAAGCTACAAATGATCATTATAATAATTTTCTGATCAATAAAGAATATTTTGAGAAAATTTTATCTCACCATCTCTTTTTTTGTGAACGCTATCGTGCCAACAACACATAGAAGGACGGACATAGCTAGATCGCCTTGGCAATAACTAAATGTAGGATTTTATAATTGCGATAATTTATTTCTCATTATTATACTTATGTATATGGGAGGATAAGCGGGAGGAAAAGTCTCCGTGTGCTTTATCGATATTCTTTAAGGATAGAACAATTAAAGTGGCTAGAAACGAGTTATGTACATTATCCTATCTTTAGTTATTGCCAAGTTGTATTAATGGGGGTTAGAATCTTACGAGGACCCAGAATATATATACTTTATGTAGTCTATGAACAATATTTCGATGTGTTACATACGGAATGACAAAATCATTTTACCCCCATAAACTATATAACTAAATACCCATACATTTCATTGCACTATTCCTATGCCAAAACTAATCTGTAGTATTATTTTCAAAGCTTTAACTATTGCATTTTGTAATAGTTTTTTTTTAACTTTGTTTAGTTTAAACAACTTAACTCTTTAATTCGAAGAAGCCATATACATATATTAATGCCCACTAATACAAATAACTAAATGCATACATTTCCACCTTCAAACAGTACACTGCAATACATACATATGTATGTATGAACATACTACAACTAACCCTTAGAAACTAGTTGGAATACATACATATTTTCCATAAACATTTCAGTGCCTCCATAAAAAGTTTAAGTACTTTAACAATTAAAACATAACCTTTAGTATTGGTGCATCTAACTACATCTACATATGTATGTATCAACCTCCTCCACCGCTTGTTTATAGAAACTTTTTTAATTGTGAAAATGTACTTACTTACACATACACATGTGTATTTAATTACCAATTGTAGTCTTGATATTTGTAAGACATACGTAGGTACTTACCGATTAAGAGGGTTCCTAAAAATTGTCAATGTTATTAAAGGAATTAAAATATATCCCTCTATATGTTACAAGGATCTGTCCTCTTTTCTAGAATAGAGCGATCGGTGAAGTAAATTTTTAAACAAATTATAAATAGATCCACAAAACTATATGGGTTTGTATATTTGGGGTCCTCACTAGATTCTAAGGCGTTCTAACCATATCCATCAGTCTGTCTGTATGTTGAAAGCACAATATGATTCGAAAGAATGCAGCTAGAGGACTAAAATTTTTCAAAAATATTTTCTATTAAAATGTTTTCTCGGTAAGGGCCAATATTAGTTCATGATTTTACCTAGAATTGATAATAATCTTAACTGAACCACCCTAATATTCCAATATATGCAAGTGCTTGTATTCAAGTGTATTTGTTTAACAAACGTTATTAATTATGCGAGTAGCAGTAGAAGTGGTAAATGTTTGATAAAGCTATTTCAGTTTCTATTTAATGGTTTCTAGTTACAAACAAATTAATTGAAATGGTTCTTTTGTGTAGGGCGCGTTATCATCATACAAAGTAATATTTGGGTAATTGCATACAAATGAAAATTGGAAATGAAATACAAATAATATTAAAGTTTACCTTTAATTGTAATTTTATATTTCTATAATTAAAGTATTGACAATAAATGAAATTTGATGCATAAAACCAAAAATATTCATTAAATTTGTAAATGTTTTTTTAACTAAAATTTTTAAAATGTAATCATGTTTCCTTTTTAATCCTTTTATAAATTATAGCCATAAATTCATTTAAATACATATTATGTACATCTGCATTTTTTCATTTTGCTTTTTTTTTTTTGGTTTTTACCTTTATCATAGTTAAGCCTAAAAAGATTATACTTATGGCATAATATGATTACAGTTTGCGCTGATTCTTAGAATTTAAAAGCAGCGAAAATACAAAAATTGTGAAAATCATTAAAACTAACGGTTATCTTAGATCGTAACATAAAGTTATATATAATTTACCGACTCTGATTTCTAGGAGCTTGCTATTTAACGTGCGCACGAAAAATCAAGTAGAGTCGAATATGCTCGTCAGATGTAGTATTGTATAGTATTAGATCCAGTCTGTAGCCGACCTAGATATCACACCAAGTAAGTAACTGCCAAGAAACCAGGAAGTAACTGCCAAGAACCCAGTTGGAGAATCAAGAGCAGATCCCGCCTGCCTATTCATTTCCATAATAGTCCCAATGTGCAGGTACTCAAACAAGGGTAATGTCAGACAGGCGACCCAGCTTGACAGATCCTTCTAGCTTTGTCTAACTAATACGGAAGAGGTATTATAAGAGTTTAATGAAAAATTCCTATGTTGCCGCGAATATTGAGGTCATGTAGTACCTTACAGGTAGGTACTGTTGTACTATGTCGATTACTAAGTCGATTAAACTATGTCCGATTGTCCGACCGTCGCGACCCGGGGGCATGTTACCTTGGTGAAATCTCCAGCTTGGGAAATGAGGTGCTACCAATACCTCTAGTCTGCCAGGACTATAAACTGGTAATGATCAAATGTATTCTTGGCCTTTCCTTGGAATAATTTGGCATGGGGTCGAACCAGACCACCATATAATCTGGCACTACGGGTGGCCAGTTGCCCGCAGGACTTCTCCTGGCTGGTTAGTTGGTTGAAGTTCCTTCGGGATCCACGTAGTGGCTGTGGT